AATATAATATATATATATATAATAATGAGGGTGAGTCTGAAAATTAAAAATAGAATTCTTTTGTCCCCCAGTCAGAGCAAATGCAGGCCTTCATTTAGTCATTTGCCAGGCCTTCCACATTCCACAGAACAGAGATCTGACCTGTGATCTTTTATTGCCCCCACCCCCAGCAGAAGTGAGTCCCAAAACTCCTAAACCTTTTATAGCTGTCCCTAATTAAAGGCATGGCACCAGGCCCTCATCTATTACCACTGGACAAGTTAATATAAACAAGCAGGTCTGGTAGAGGAAGCGACCCCACTTTTACCCAAAAGTCATAACCCTAAGTTGCAAAATCAACTACATTTCATAATTTGGAATAGAGCAGTCATAGTGTAAAATAAAGGTTCATTCCCCGCTTGCTTTCCAGCCCCAGCCCTTCCCTAGGGGCCAGCTCCTAAAGGCCTGATAAAAAGATGCTGAACTAGGTAGGGAGGGCTCTCGTTTTGAAAAACATCAAGGAACTAAGAAGTCTTAACATCGCAGAAGAGTTCCCCTTTAATCTCAGGATATCATCTGCTGAAAGCTTGCTTGAAGAAGAGCCCTGCAGACTTCTCCTTTGCTTATACAACTCTGAACTCTGTCAGAACTCCTAAACTCTGGACTGTTGAGTATTCACCTTTTATTCACTTTAATTTTACTGTTGTATATATATTTTGTCTCTTTTTATTAAAATCTTTTTCTGTATATTTTCGGCACCGTTTCTTTAATTAGAGGACGATCTTAAAAATCGTTAAGCTTATCTCTAAACTCTAAATACGAACATAAAGTATCCTTGCCTCTGTGAAGAGCGCTACTGTGTAGTGAATCCTGTCATATTCCTGTCTGAGAGGACAGCGGTATCATAGGCATTGTTTAAATGTTTTAAATTGGGCACGGTCTGTGTTTCCGTAAAAAAAAACACATCGTGGCAGCGAACGTTTGTGGGTAAAGGGTTAACTGCGGAGTTAACCAACCCTGGTGACGATCGCTCTCAGTCTGCTGGCCTGAGCTTGTGTCCTGTGAGCTGTGGAGTCTTTGTGCAGGGTGAGGCTGAGAGTGAAATCACCACGTCATTGTGATGCCCATGCTCTGTTCAGACTTGTGTATAGTCATGTGTGATTGACGTACAGCAGGTTTGGGCCGGGCGTACGTCACAATTGCTACCTTTACTGTTACAATTACAATTATTAATTTATATAACTCTAACATATTCCGCAGAGCTGTACAATCGTTTAGACAAGACAAGTAAGAAACACTGACTAGCATCATTGACATTCAGAAAAAGTAGGTGAAGAGGTCCCTGCCCAAACGAGCTTAAAGTCTAAGGGGAAGGGGACCATAGACACAGGTGGGGAAGGGGACAATACAGATATATACCAAATAAAATAAGGGGATGTGGGAATACTGTGAAACAGGAGCAGAAGGGAAGGTTGTATAGGGTGAGAAATCAAGGGGAGAGCTGCTACATCTCTCAGAAGAAGTGCAATTGAGGGATTTCTTAAAGCTCTGTAGGAAAGGTGAGAACCTGATGTGGCGTGGGAAAGAATTCCATAAGGTGGAAGCAAAATGCAATTTAAAAGAGTGAGTGTAGCAGAGATAGCTTAAGCTGCAGCGTGCTGAAAGTACACCTGCACTGTGAACTGACCCAGAAGTTGAGGCTTGACAGACAAACGCTTCTCGCACAACAACAGGCAGGTAAGGGAAGGGGAGGGGTTTATATGGTCATAGCCCCCTCCCACAAATACAGGTTGATAAATTAACCTTAAAACATATATAAAACAAATCATACATTAAAAGATAGATGTACAAATCCCAGGAGCCCCATAGCCAATGCTCCTTAAAAATGACAGCTGCCTCCTAACTATTGAGTTTTTATCTAGTCTAGTCTTGGAGCTGGAAAAGTATCAGTACTTATACTTGTACCAATTATGTGCATCCCTAATTGATAAAATGAAACATTCATTTGAAACAGAGATTTTCAGAGGCAGAGAGTGCTGAGTTGTATGCAGGATGCATGCTGTACTGAAATAGCATTGGAGCTGATGTATCAAGACATACTAAGAACTTTCCCACAGTCACAAAACAGATATAGACTCTTACATTCCAACTTCTGTTTTTTGGGGGTTAGTTTGAATATGACTGACAGCCTACTCTCACTCAATACCACACAGACTATTTTGATTCATATAAATATTTGCACCCAGATATACAGTATGATTTTAAAATTGCACAAAGTTCCTAAAATTGGTAATGTTTTATTAAATATGAATATTATATGAAGAACAAAAAAGCAGTGGAAGGAGTTTACCATGCAACTGGCTGACAGAATAAGGCACCAATGTAGAGAAAATACCACAACCTCTTGCTTAAAGATTTACAATGTTGTGTGTATATTTTCAACCCCTTTACATGCAGCCTGTGAAATCAAACCATTTTGAAAGCATTTGTGGTAGATTTATAATTCTAACAGTTTTTACCTGTAAGAGGTGGGGTAACATGTTTCATATGGGTCAGTGCTCCTTCTGACCAGTAGAGTGGGGATTTATTAATTTGTTTACAGTTTTACTTCTCTTTTGTACTTGCCACTATGCATCAAAGAAGATAAATCCTCCCCGTTTATTTCTTATTTGATCTTTATAATAAGGTAATAGTTGTCTATTTAGTTGTTATATTTAAACCTTCTTTGTAGAATAAACGTTGTATAACATAATGTAGGGGAAATCGACAAATTTATTGAAAAAATACCTTTCCTGTCAGGAATGGCTGCTTTGTGGTTGTTGAATTTTTTTTCATAATTACCATTATATCCAGTGTCCACAGAGTTATTCTGTTTTGTTTTGTAGTATAAAAACACCATTAGATGTATAGTACCAATAGGGTGGTTTCAGTGTACACATAACAACTTCTCTGAAAACAATCAAGCATGTATAGAAAAAGTGGAAGAGACGAAAGCAAGACTCCAAGGCTTTATGGGTAACATAGCATTTTGATAAGTTTCTTCACCATAGATGTGTAATCCGGACATCCTACTGTGTCCAGTTATTACAGATGGAAGGACAGTTATTACAGTGAGCTTATTTTTTTTATTCTTTATTTAACATTTTCAAATATAAAATACAATACATATAAATACAGAGTAGGGAGAGAGAAAGGTACACAAGTCAAGTAAACAAAATCAGTCTAAATTTGATTCTATTGATAGTCATAGTCATTAGTTATTATTATTTCTATTAACTTAAGCTTGTGTTAAAGGAGAACTATGGGGTAAGTGTTTTTCCCTATAGTTCTCCTAAGGGTCACAGGAGGACATAAACTAGCATCCTCCCATGACTCAAAGATCAGTATACCGCGAGCTACAGCTCGCAGTATACTGAGACCGCCGCAGCCGGGACGGATCCCGACATTACTGTTGAGATCCACCTAGCTCCGTGAGTGACAGCTGGCTCTGCCTATCTAGAGGCAGAGCCAGCTGTACCCGCCCCCTCCCCATTCCGTTCCTCCAGTGAGCGCTGGGGGATCGAGAGGGGAGGGAGGGGGGATCCCTGCTGGGAGCCGTGAGTGACAGTCACGTCTCTCTGCGGGGACATGATTCTAAGCATATCAACCGATCATAAATTCATGTTTATAAAAAGACATCATATACAGTGTCAACAAGAAAGTGCAGTTCCAAAAAAAAAACCCAGACCAAAAGTATGTATTAAAGCTCAATTCCAAATCCTTACTGTGCAAGGGAGAAACATTTTAATTAACATGACAATAACAAAACTAAACCTCAAAAACAAGAACTACAAGAAAAAAGAAAATAATTTAAGTAAAAAGGAAACTAACTCTGACAATAAAATAGAAAGCAGAAAGTCAGGCTAGAGAAAAAAAGAAGTAGGGGAGAAAAGAGAGGAGAGATGAAAACCAGGAATAGAATAGCACAGGAGGAGAATAGAGGGATCAAGCTCCCCCCTCCTCACCCACATGCTGGAACCACAACGTCATCTCCTAAGAGTGCCAAATCATAAACTTGGTGCTAAAGAGCATATTCTTGTCAGGAAAACCATGCATGATGAAATCTCTCTTCACTGTGGTAAAGATAAGCTGTGAGGTCTTCCATACGTTCAATTTCTTTAGTTTTCTAATACCACAGGGCTTTTTAAATGATACATCGGCATCTCAGAGCGGACAGCTGATTTTCACCAAGGATAGCATAAAGTGCACATCAGAGTTGTGATCATTCCATCATTGTGGAAATAGGTTATACTGTAAATCATAGTGCCTCCAAGGCATCTCAGTTTAGTGTGTAGTCCAATAACTGTATTCGATGAATATATTCCTTGATTGATCCAGATTGTGTTCATTAGGATTTTAATCTAGGAGACGTCTATATAGAGAGAAATAACAAAATGACTTAATTTTGACATACAGTTCTCAACATGATAACCCATGTACAGTGCACATCTTTTTGAGGTCCCATTGTAGATTATATTGTCAAGTGGCATGTGTATCTATTCTTGTTCCTTGTTTGTATGCCTCTCTAGCTTGTGTTCTTCCTGTGCTGCCCAATTCTTTATACTTTTATGGTTAGCAGTCAGTGGTTACAGATTGCAACAAAATAAACAAATTTGTTCTAACATATACTTGATGAGGGTGGTTGGTAAATAATGACTCACTTGGCTAGAAGTTAAGGAAATACTAAGCTAAATGCTGCAATCTTTAAAACTCCCATTTACTGGGGCTAGTAGCCCCCTAACAATTACTTCTCTTCAACTCCATATACTGAGCATCTAACATTGGAATGACTGAACTAGCAGTAAAGTAAATGAAGCATTTTGCACAAGCTGATGAATGAAAGGAAACATTTTGATATGTTTCATAGTGAACCTATGTATTGTACATTTCTGTAACTCTTTAGCACTGAAAGGCCTAGAAATATTAGTGAATTAGAAGCTGCATTTGCAACATACAGCAAAGGAGGCAGCAGAACGCATACAGGAAAGGAAACCTGTAATGAGAGAGATATGAGGGCTGCCAATGCTGGCTTCCTTCTAGTTGCTTGGTTGACTTTGTGACATCTAGAAATTACATATGTTCAGTTTAAATACAGTTAAAAAGAGCAGTTAAACAGCATTTGACAATGAGTCACAGGCAATGCCATCATTTGCCGGAACGGCTGGTGCATCAGAGAATATTTGTAGGTCAGTATGAGCTGCTGTGTGCTGCTAAGCCTTGACCACCTTCCTGGTAATGCAAGTTTAAACCATTATCACTATAGTGAGTTTACCACAAACAACAGGAATAACAGCTTTACCAGTTTACCAGACTTTGCAAATTCTATATGACAGGGATGATTGTTATTACCAGTCAAGATGTGGACCTCTACAATTATAAAAGTAAAGCCATGCAACCTTTTTTTTTTTTAAGTTATCAAATTGCAGAATGCTATCATGCATTTTGCTGTAGGATGACATTTATTTCCTCAAACTGAAAAATGATTTATTCCTTTTAAATGTCTGTACGGTGCCATTTAGTAAAACATGACTCGTGACTCATGATGATGATTTGAGTATAACTTACCACTGTCAGATGTCCATTCTTGGCTTTACACACCTGTAACTCGTTCCCCGATATGAAATCGATAGACCCTTTCCTGCCTTGGAATTGAAATGTCAGGCTAGAAGGAAACAATGCACTAGCATGTTACTCCAGAATGAACAATACATTCCTAGGAGCTGTCCATACAATACAAGTTTGTGAATAATTCATAGAAGGTACAGTATATGGCAGATAATGGAAACAAATTTAGCACATGCTTTACCTTCCGTGGCCTATATTGACTGCATCTTGCTTTGAAGCCAACATGCACAATTTAGTGACAACTTCAAAGATATGATCACACTGTAATACAATATCTCCCTGCAATGAAAAAAAAAAAAGTCAGACTTCTAAGGAAACTTAAAGTGCATTACCATGGTTACAATTCCCCTAAATATAGGATCAAGCTGTCTCATGTTTAAGATTTAGCCATACATGTACAGTAGATGTCCAGTTCTATCTAAACCAGATACTTGTTCTCCAAGAAAACTTCTACATCATGTGGCGGTCAATAGCCATACAACTAAGTTGGCTGTGAATAGCACATGGATAGATTATTATTTGGTCTAAGATGATTTACAATGCTGAACAATCAAGTCATATAGGGGTAATGTTAATTGGTGCTGCACCAGTGAAGATATTTTTCAGTTATGGTTGCCGTCTGTCTTTGAATTCCAGGAACAGTTCTGCATTTAAAATACTTAAGATGTCATTGATTCTGAAAATCATTCACTTTAAACAAAACCCTTCTTTACTGAGTTGCGGGAGAGTTCTGACCCTATATAAGGTCCTATTTGACAATTATTATTCATTTGACCTTACCTTCTGTTTATTGTCTTCTGGAGATACATGAATGATTAGGAATCCATCACTCATGTCACTGACAGAAATTTCTGAAATGTAAGCAACAAAATTAATTGTATACAATGTTCATTAATCATATATGATGTTGCAGCTTTTTTTATTCTCTTAGCCAATTTTCTATTTGAGTTGTTGAAATACTTTTTATTTTGTCATTTTTGGTGTATGTGCAGCCAAAACATTTGTCCTGGTTTTTGATAGAGTGGGGAAGGGTTGTAACCCCTGCCAGGTTTTTAATGCTATCTGGGGCTTCTTTAGAAAGATTTTACCTCACTTTATTATTTCTCTCTGTCCCAGTTACAGAATTTTCCTTACTTCCTGTCTGCTGAATCCATTTTCAGCAAAACAGGAAGTAAGGGTAAAGCTCTCCATAGGAGCCCCAGTCAGCAGTAAACCCTGACTCGACTCTGTGTCTGAATGAAGAAATATTCTTGCTATTAATTAACCACTTAAAGGCCATGGTGTTTCACCCCCTTCCTGGCCAGGCCATTTTTCAGTGTTCAGCGCTGCGGTACTTTGACTGATGCTTATTCCGTCATGCAACGCTGTACTGAAATGAATTTTTTGGGGACAGATAGAGCTTTATTTTAGTGGTATTTAATCACCACTGGGGTTTTAATTTTTTACTATATAACAAAAAAGTACCCTAAATTTTGAAAAAAAAACATGTTTCCCTATAAAATGTTATGAAACATTTATTTTCACGCCCATTTTTTGGTATAATATAAAAGACGGGGTCACGTCGGGATAATAGACACTAAACATGTCAACCTTTAAAATTGCGCGCGCCCGCGAAATCGCAGAAAACTTCCTGCAACCAAAATTGGCCATGGGCGACGCTTTAAACGTATTTACCACTCATCAGTTTAGTGTCATCAGTGATTGATGGCCCTAGAATTATTATTCTCACTGCGACGTTCGCGGCGATATGTAACATGTGCTGCATAATGGGCGCAATCGTCGTTTTTGTACATAGGCGCACCCGACGCATGTTTGCGTGTGTATGTGGGGGGGGGGGGGACTTTAAAACATTTTTTGTGTTATTTTGTTTAATTATTATTTGTGAATATTTTTTTAGCTTCTTTATTTTTTTTTAATGCTGTAATTTTTTTTTAAACTTTTTTTTTTAGACTTAACTTTATTGCTATAACATAGGGGACTAAGGAATCCCCTATGTAATAGCCAATTCACCAAACAGGTCCTCTTTATGGAGACATCAGGGGTCTCCAAGACCTCTGATGTCACCTAAGGACCCCCCCAGAAGCTGATGAAGCAGAGATCTGCTTCATCAGCTTCTCTCCGGTGTTCTGCACCGGAGAGTGACACTGAATGCAGGAAGTGATGTAATATACATCACTTCCTGCATTCGGGGACAGGAAGAGAGATCAAAGGGATGAACAAGTAATGATCTCCCTTTGATCTGCTGTTAGAGCGTCGGCCTGCCGGTCCCAGCCGCACCGGCCACATCGGATCACGGACCGGCAGCGGCGACGAGCAGACAAAGGTACACCCGCAGCTCCTGCAAGCGATCGGGCGTCTCTAGAGACGCCTGATCGCTTGTATGTAAACAGCCATCGCTGGCTGTTTACATGCTTACAGTTTTCCCTCTCGTGTGCGCGCTGAGTGCTGCACACGAGAAGGGGGAGGGGCAGGACGTCTTAAGACGCCCTCCCGCTCCTAGCAGACGTCCGTCCGGCCGTTCACAAACGGCCATGGACGGAAGGTAGTTAACGAATAACGTTGCTCTATTTATTTTGTGTTTACAAAGAAATGACGAAATGCATTCTCTTACCTTTTATGTTTGAGTATTCAATCTTCTGCTTGATTTTGACTTGTTCAGTCACATACAGTTTTGTCTCTGTCAATAGGAGATGTCGGGGGCGAGCCTTAAATCCATGTCTATCGTACTTGATTGCTGGGATGCCATACTAATTGCACGTGGGCAAAACAATTGCAGACGTCATCTGTTTCGTCTGTACAAGGGTCTAAACCTCATGTTAAACATTGATGGCTTTTTTGTCACAAACTGTGGTGGAAAAACTTGCATTTTCTTATAATATAAGCCATGCTTCAAAAATGCATTATTTCACTATGACTCTACTCTACAATTATGCACTTAACAAACATTTATTAATCCCCTATGGAAAAAATCTCTAACATCTATATAAACGTTGTCATCTCTACTTCAACTCTAACCCCAGAGATTGTGTTACTTTCTGCCTTTCCTAGTTTCGCTTTCAGCAGCTATGACATCACTCCCAAGGTTCTTTTTACATGCAACTAGAGCTGTCATTCCCAGATACTGCAATACCACCAAAATCCCTTCTATTCATGAACGGGTGACAGATTTGTGTTATATATAATGAGAATTGAGCAATTGATAGCCCAATATTTGGTTTAGTAAAAAAAAAAAGAGTAAAACATTTTGATCACACGGGTTTAATAAAGTGGCTAAAAAGCAGCAATGAAGTGCAAACATTCATAAAAAATACCAACCAATAAAGCTGTTAGATAAGGTTAATGATTGCTATTTGTTCATTTACTTTGCCTCAGTGTCTTACAGGGTTATTCACGAAAGGGTGAAGAGTTTGGAGAAGACAGGAGAAGGGAACTATCTAGGACAACATAACTGATTTGGAAAAATTCTCCAATTCAGCTCACTTTCCAGCTCAGCTATGTTGTCCTAGATTGTTCACTTCTCCTGCCTTCTCCAAACTCTTCACCCTTTTGTGAATAGCTCTGTTAGTTTTTAAACCTAAGACTAGTTCTCTTATGTCATGTCCCCTAGTTATGATAAAAAGCATGTTAAGCCAATTTGCTTTGAAACAGTTTATACAGTACACATTTGTGTTTAGTTTAGGAACACAACTGAAAAGAGAGGCCCTGTGGTATGAGATTTGTACAACAACAGACTCCTTACCTTAATCTTGTCATAGCACATGGTCATAAGCAGTTTCGGATTGAGATCTTGTTCATCTAACAATCAAATCACAACATCATATCAAATATGATTAAACGGATACAAATCCAGTGTTATGATAATTTTAAAAAAAACAATTTTTAAAGTGATATTAAAGTAAAAAGCTATTTTAAGTGCTGATTAAATCACTTACAATAGATGCTGCTCCTTAATGTTCAAAAGTTTTAGCTTCCAGCAGAATCATCTGGTCCCCTGAGCACTGGCCCTGATATCCTATTTTGGGGTGGCTTCTTTCCCTTGCAGGGACCTATGGAGCCACCCTTGTGTATGCTAATAAGCTGTGTGTGTTTCCACAAACACACAGACACAGCAGTGCAAGCCACTCCCCCCTCCTCCTTCATACTAGTAGATGGACAGGGATATTGGGTTCTACCTTGTGATCTTGTACTGGACAGTACGTTCAGGGAAAAGGTGGTTTGTAGTTTAATACTACATTAAAGAATAAACTGGCATGTAAATTTGCAACTACAAAACCAAAAGGCTATATAATTACCATAAATTAAAAAGCTATCAGATTAAAGCTGAACTCCAGCCTTCCCTTCAGTCTTGCACAGTTGTTTAGGCTCCTCGTCTGTACTAAAATTGCATCATCTAGCCCTTTTCCCAGTCTTACTGTCCTTGGACCACCCCCTCCCTTCATTGGGTTTCAGTTATTTCATTGATGAAGGCTCAGCATCACATGTGGGTGTTACTTAGGCCAGTCTGCATGCCAGTGCTGTCTGCTTAGAAACATCAACACTTCCAGACTGACGTCCAGCCATTGAGAAATATTGACGTTTGCATAATCCTGCTTTTGTTTGGGAATCCTTTATGCCAAAATCTAATACCTAAACTTATAGGTAGAGGTTATGGCATCAGAAACTCCTGCTTCCCACTATGTGAAACCAGAAGGTGCCTGTTATTAAAATGAAAGGCTACTTTGGGTGAATCTAAAGCAGTTTCCCCTTAACATTGGAGAGGTGTATCGGAGAGTACTGCAAACTTATTGTAATGCCACACTCACTTAGCCGGGTCTCTTCAAAGGGTTGGCATATACTTTGCTGATAGCCCTCTTTTTTTCCCCGGAACAGGTCACTAGCCACAAGTTTCTGCTGCATCTTTGTATAGAGAAACAAAATAATAAAATCAGTGCAATTGCTACTGAAATTCAATTCTCCTAGGCTCTGTAAATCAACTGATGTAAATGCTGTACCTGCACGGTTTTCTGTGGAGTGACTGACCTGCAGTATTTTCTCACCAAATTTCTCATGCACAGCTTATGAAGCTTTTCTGATACCTGCAAGAAAGAATAGGGGACATTTATTCATTGTTTTCCAAAGCCAGATAATGATAAAAGGAAGCAAAAAGACAGATTCAAGATAGACTTGAGACATATTTATGATTATTAGGCAGCTTCATTTCAAAAATCCTCACTCTGTTGCACTACAGCAGTTCTGCAACAAAACATAGGATTTTTGTAGTCACCACAAAATCCTTTTCTTGAAGTACAGTGTTGGACCCAGGAATTTTCAAACTGTTGGGTTATGCTGCTCCCCTACAGGAGAAATGGACACTGGCAACAAAAAAAAAAAACTGACAGCCAGCACAGGATAACTACAAGTATGCCTCAGTTTTGTAGCAAAGTAGTAGCACGATCATGAACATAAACATAACGTTTTTTATGGTGAGTACTTTATTGTCTGAGTATTTTCTTTATTGTCCATTGAGGGACACAGGAATTCTTAGTCTGTCAAGCTGTCCAAAATCAGCCTAACAGACGGGTGGACAACACTGCAAACACATGCTAACAGGCCCAAGAAACAAGAGAAAACTGGGCACTGCCTGCAGCTTAACCTCTTAAGGACCAAGGCCTTTTTTTTCCATTTTTTGCAAGCATGTTATAATCCACATGTTAGGCCTGAAAATTACTTAAAACCCCCAAACATTATATATGTTCTGAAAGCCAAGACCCTACAGAATAAAATTGTGGCAGCTGCAAATTTCTATTTTGGACGACATTAGCGCAACTTATTATCAAACCCAAAAAGTTTGTGAAAAATGCACTTAAGTAACATGTACTCTGTAAGGTAATGCTGGGGGTCCAAAAGACCCCCAGTGTCACCTTTACACTTGAAATAAGCTATTGAAGTGAAGATCGCACTTCAATAGCCTATTGTTGAGCTTCAGGAGCCCACCACTGACAGCTATGGGACCGGAAGTGATGCAATTCGCATCGCTCTTGGTCCCATAGTACGGGGAGGGGTTCGACAAATGGATGTTCGTCGCACTCCTCCACTGCTTTCCGCCGACACCCAGCAAGCTGGTCTTGAGCCCGTAGTAGGGGCAGCAGAGCCCAGGAAACAAGGCGGGGGTGTCGGGGGGCGGCGCGGTTACCGGATCGTAGAAGCGATCCGTCAGCAGCTGAGCTGCCTGAATCGCTTCTACTGTAAAGTCGGTCGCCGGCTCTAAAAAATAGAACAGACTCCTGGACTACCGGTGGTTAAAAGCTGCCCCGGGAGTCTGTGTAACCCCTTCAGATTTCATGAAGGGGTTAAAAAACCACCTGAAGGACCTATGCCCGAAGCTCGCATCAGATGAGGCCAAAACGTCCACCTGGCAAAACTTAGAGCGTGGGAAAAGAAGACCACGTGGCAACCTTGCAATGAGGGAAACAGTTGCTTGATGCCAAAAAGCCCAATAAGCATGTCTAGCAGAATGAGCCCTGACAGGAAAGGAATCCTAGAAAGCATAAGTTTACATGATGGTCTGCCAGAGCCACCTTGGTGTAACCAGAAAACAGTACACCCTTTTGGAGTCCATCTGGGATGACAAAAAAAGAATCAGTCTTTTGAAAGACCACAACCACATCTAGACAATGGAGGGAAATTTCCTTTGCGTGAACTGGAAAAGGATGGAAGAAAGATATCTTGGTTTAGGTGTAAAGGCAAAAACTACCTTAAGCAAGAAGGAAGTCCTGGGCCCCAACACCACCTAGTCCCCAAGGGAATCAGAAATGATTCCTTGATGAATAAATCCAACGGTTCAGACATTTGCCTTCCAGAGGTAATGTCCACAAGGAATACCACCTTATTGTGAGAGTAGTGAAAGGAAAGCCTCTAAAAGGTTTAACAAAGAACCAGATTCAGATCCCACAAAGTCACAGGGAATGGACAGGGGAAGCTATATTAGAGAGAGGTCTTAATCAAGGAGAGGGAGAGAGGCCCATGATTTCTGAAACAAACAGAAAGGGCAGACACCTAACCATTGATCGTGCTGAGAGCCAAACATTGGTCCAGATCCAGCTGTATGAAGGAGAGGAGAAACTTCTAAGGTGGAAGCCTCAAAACTCACACCAAGTGAAGTTTACCTTCCATGTCTAATAATAGACCTTGCATGAAGTAGCAATCCTAGTTTTTAGCAGAGCAGGAATCAAAGATGAAGAGATGTATTGTATTGTCCCTCAGAACCTGAGCTCCAATAACTATGCTGTTATAGCGAGCAACCATAGAGCAGGATAGTAAATTGGGCCTTAAATAGAAGATCTTAATGATTCAGAAGGGCCCACGGAGCATCTGTCAGGAGACTTACCACATTGGTGAACCACATTCGCCTGGGCCATTCCAGAGCAATGAAGATGACCAGAAAGCCCTCCATCTCGACCCTGCAAAGCAGAGAAGAAGGTAGTTTCAGGGAAGGAAACAAAAAGATCAGGGAGTACTGATCCTACAAAATTACCAGAGAATCAACTGCTTTTGTAGGGTATCCCTGTATCTGGAGACAAACCTCTCCAGTTAGTTGTTGGACCTGAAGGTCCACACCGGTATCCCCCATCCATGACACAGGTCCTGGAACAACTCTGGGTGCAGGGACCCGTCTCCCAGGTCCAGAAGGTGCCAGCTGAGAAAGTCTGCCTGCTAATTGTCCACATATAGCATGTACATGGCAGACAAGGCTGGAACATGAAGTTCTGCCTAAGACAGAAAGCCATTTACATCTCTTGCAGTGGCAAGGCATCAGGTTCCATCCTGATGATTGATGTATGCCTTTGCTTTGTCTGATTGAACCTAGATTGGATGACCTTCAAGCAGGATGGACCAACACTGCAGAGACAGCCAAATTGCCTGAAACTCTAGGATGTTGATCAAGAAACAAAATTCCTTCCACAACCAAGTCACAGGGATGGCATCCATCATAGGAAAACCCCAAAAGACAGGAAGGAAAACTGTACTCGATCCAGATTCCTGAGTTACCAAGCCAGGGACAACATGGCACTCAGTGCCAAATGAATCAGTCTTTCCAAGAACCTGGTTTATCCTATGAGAGCAGAATGTTGTGTTGTAGATGTCTGCAATGTAAATGGAGAAATAGAACTGCTTCAAATTAGGCCACCATCAGGCCTAGGACTCTCATGCAGAAGCAAAGGGTCCACCGATTCCTGGACTGAATCGCTTGAATATGAGATTGGAGAGTCTAAAGTTTCTCCTGTGGAAGGAACATTGTAGCTTGAGATATGACCAGGACTAGACCCAGATATTCCAAATGATGAGTTGGTTCCAGCAATATCTCACAATAGGAATGTCACGAGAGTGCAGCAGGACTAAAACTAGGGCTATCACCCTGGAGAACGCCTTAAGGTTAAAAAGACTCCCTTATGAAGAGAGGCAAATATAGATATGCCGAATTTTATGAAGACAATCAGAGCTTTGAGATCCAAGGTGAATGTGAATAAATTGAATAAACCTCTGAAACCCTTCAACCACAGGAATGGGGACAATGACATCTTGATACAGGAGACCTGAGAGTGCTCGACGGAGATCTGCTAACCTGGGATACTACCTCCTGCATCAAAGTATCAGAGATGTATGTTGTCCAACGTAAACAAAGGTTAAGAAATGCTACCCTATTCTAAAAAGTAGGGGTCCTCTTCATGTTTTGGAAGGCTTGTCTGAAAATCTCACAAACTTTGAGTGCTGGACCTCAGGGGCAGACTGGGAACCAGGCTCGGAGGGTCTCACAGAGTAAGGGGAGAAAACAAAAGGAACTTTTATTAACAATCAGAGAGGGGAAAGGCTAAGCAGTTTATTCCTTATGTTTCTTCCGTTGAAGAAGATGGGTGCTTTTTATTCCAGTAGCATCCTAGAGAAATACAATTTAAAATCAATCCGAAGAGATCCTTAAATACCATGTGGAACAATCTTCTTATACAAGAATTTAGCAGTCCAGTACCTTAACAAAAGGTGCTCATGCATAAGTACTGGAGGAGAACCATACAATAGCAAAACCAGTAAGCTCTTAACAGACCGGCACAGCTGAAATTAAAAATGACAGCCACTTGTCCACATGCACAAGGAACAGTGGCGGAACTACCACCATAGCGGCCCGTGCGGGCGCTATGGGGCCCGCGACAGAGGGGGCCCGGTGAGGAGCAGGGCTTACAATCCTCCCGGGTCCCGGCATTGGTGCGCACGCTAAACTTTTATCCCAGGCAACTACTGGAGTGGAGCTGATGGGGCGTCACGATCAGTCTCCAAAACCCCGGACATGGTAGGCGGAGACAGCCTAATGGGCAGGGTCCCACTCCTGCAGCATTCTCTGGATTGGTTAACAAGAGGAGTGGGCGTGGTTTGGAGGTGAAATCGTGGAGGACGGATATCGGGGACGTCACAGAGGAGATCGAGGAGGGGACAGAGGTAGGGAGACATCTGCAGTCAGCTGGTCAGGTCATGGGGCTTGAAGTTGAAGCATTTGGCTGGCCCTCTTGCTGTATGGTGCTGTGATAGGACTTTCCAGGTGTCTGCTGGCTTTATTAGCCAGCAGACACCTGGGAAGTCTTGTATGCTACATGCTGCCTGGGTAATTAATTGCTGTGCTGTGCCTGTCATTGTCCAGCAGTACTGTCCCTGCTCTCTGTCTCTTAGGGCTTGTTCACACCAATTGCGGTGCGTTCCAGAGCGGTAGCTGCTGGAATGCACCACAATCACTCACAAAATGCCCCCTCGCGTTCTGGGGTTGGAGGGGGCATGGCGGTGCATTAAAATAATTGGCACCGCAGCCATGCCCCTCCCCCCTGCCCGCAGTGCGATCGGACTTGTGGCAAAACATTGCCTGCATTCTGTTCCAATGCAAAAAATAGTCTGCCCTATTTTTTGCTTTTGCAGTGGAATGGAACGCAGGCAATGTTTTGCCACAGGTCCGATTGCACTGCAGGTGGGGCTGCGGTGCCATTGATTTCAATGTGTCGCCACACCCCCTCCTGCCCCAGAATGCAGGGGAGAGTTTTGTGAGTGATTGCGGTGCCTTCCAGCAGTACCACTCTGGAACGCACCACAATTGGTGTGAACAAGCCCTAAGGGCTTGCTCACACCAATTACAGTGCATTCCAGAGCGGTTGCTGCTGGAACGCACTGTATTGCACCCTAAACGCCCCCCTGTGTTCTGGGGTGGGAGGGGGTGTGGCGGTGCATTGAAGTCAATGACACCGCAGCCCCACCCCTGCCCGCAGTGTGATAGCCTGCACTGGAATGCATGGCAAAACAATGCCTGTGTTCCGGTCCAGTGCGATCACCAAAAAATAGTGCATGCAGCATTTTTTGCAAGCGCACTGGCTGTGGTGCCATTGTCTTCAATGCACCGCCACCCCCCTCCTGCCCCTGAATGCAGGGGGGAGTTTAGTGTGTGTTTTAGCAGCCACCTCTGCTGTAATTGTCTTTTATTTACAATGTGGCTTGTTTACACCCTTGTCCAGAATGCAAGGGATCGCATGCACAAAGTCTCCTTCTGTTCTGGGGTGGGAGGGGGCCTGGCAGTGCCATTCATCTCATCAGCTGCACCAGAACGCATGGTAATACATTGCCCTGCGTTCAAGTGTGGTGCACTCACAAAATATTCTGCATGCACAATTATTTGCAGGCCGGGTGTGTCTGCAGTTCCATTGACATGAATGGCACTGCCAGGTCCCCTCCCACCCCAGAACGCAAGGACACTTTGTGTATGCGATCCCTTGAGTCAATAGCATTACTTTTTTTTTTTGATCGGGGGGAGGGGGTTGGTAGTTTGCGGGGGGGCCCTTGCAAAACTTTGCTATGGGGCCCTGTGATTTCTAGTTATGCCCCTGACAAGGAATGAATTTAAGCAGTGGAGAAATCTCATAAAAGGGAATTTGACCAGCTATCTATGATTTGACAAGGTAGAATCACAAACAGGATGTGGTGTTTCCAAATTTGATTAGTGACCCATGGGTGAGAGAGGGTCCCCAAGTGACAGCTGAACCATACCACAAAAAGCCTGATCTGTTAGCCTTGCAATCTGTATGGTATGGAGAACAATGCATAGCATAGTATTTCAGCCTACATAACATATCATGCCATAGCAAACGGTTACTCAGCTTTACAGAACATGCATCCACAGGTGTTCCCACACATTCCCGAGTCCACAGTGTTATGGGCCTTTTTTTTTTTACAATAATCCCCTGTAGCATAGGCAGGCTCCAGCATGTGCGCTTCCTCTTAAAGCCAAACTCTGGAAAAAAATGATAACTTACATACCACACTGGGTGTGTAAATTATCACTTAAAAGCTGCATTATATGTATAGAGGGCTGCTGCAGTGTATAACAATCTTACCTTGCAGCATGTTGACTCCTACAGATAACGCTGGTCTTCCAGACACTGCAAGCAGTTAGGGATGCAAGTTGAACAGCAAAGTGCTACAGTCACATTACTCGCCCCTCCTCACTACTTGCCAATTCACAAAATGCCTTTTATTTTTCTCAAATAATATAAGGCAGTCTGTAATTGGAGGAAAACAAAAGGTTCACCTCCCCACCCCTTCCTCTCCTCCACAATGCCTTGCATTCTTTGAGAAAAATACAAGGCATTTTGTGAATGGGGAAGTAGCAAGGAAGGGAAGCGACTGAATCAATTTACTGCATAAGTCACATCCCTCAAATCCCCACAGCAGCCGGAAGGCGAGAGTTGTGTGTAGGAGCTGGCATGCTGCAAGGTAAGATTGTTATACTTTGCAGAAGCATTCCACACAAAAAACATACACTGGGGAAAATTAAAACTAAACATTTTCCCTTTGTATATCCAAAGCAGAAATGAGGAGGATGGCTCTCCCATGTGACCAATTTGGAAAGCTAACAAATAAAAGGATTTTAACCCCCCACACAAAATGCCTGGTTGGTTACAGGTGATATTGCAGAAAATACCACATACCGTATTTGCCGGCGTATAAGACGGGGTTTGAGACCCCCAAAAAATCGCCCGAAAATCGGGGGTCGTCTTATACGCCGGGTATACTTCGGTATACTGTATGTAGGTTCGGCTACATACAGTATACCGCGCTGAGCCAATTTGCTGAGCAAATCAATTCTTTAATACAAAGCCTGCCATGGTTAGCTCAGCGCTGAGCCAATCACTGCAGACTTTGTATGCTTTAATACAAAGCCTGCCATGGTTAGCTCAGCGCTGAGCCAATCACTGCAGACTTTGTATGCTTTAATACAAAGCCTGTATTTACTGAATGCAAAGCCTGCCGTGATTGGCTCAGCGCTGAGCTAACCATGGCAGGCTTTGTATTAAAGCATACAAAGTCTGCAGTGATTGGCTCAGCGCGGTATACTGTATGTAGGTTCGGCTACATACAGTATACCGAAGTATACCCGGCGTATAAGACGACCCATCACTTTTTGTGTAAAAATATAGGTTTTGGGCTATACTCGTCTTATACGACGAGTATAGCCCAAAACCTATATTTTTACACAAAAAGTGATGGGTCGTCTTATACGCCCAGCCGTCTTATAAGCTGCCAAATACGGTAAGTACTTCAACAGAAGAAACCTAAATCCAGCATAAGCCTGCAAAGTACCCACAATAGTGAGTTGCAGTGATAGGCAAAGGTAAACTAACTCTCTGACTGGCTCTGCCCTGATAACTCCCCAAAAAATCCCCAGACATACTTGCCTGACCTAAATAACCTATGTGGACTGGAACATGGACAGTAGTCTCTGATGACTGCAGGACTGTCACAGAGAACACAACAGTATACATATTAAACTGGGAACCTGCACCAATTGACTAAGTGAAGAACTATTCCACAATTTCCATATCCTGCATGTAGCTGACTAAGGAAAATTCCCGAAATTCAGAGCTGAATAACAAACCTATGCTTGTTTGCTGACTGGAGAGACTTTGGGGGTTTAGCATATCCAGCATGACTCTATGTCAGCAACCTCCTGCTGCTGCACATGCGCAAAGTCCCGTTTTCTGCACCTTTGGGAAACGCGCATTTGCGCGCATGCGCACACACCACGGACCGCCAGCAAAAATGCACGTCAAGCGGCGCACAGGAAGAGACATACTGACCTAATCATTCCCACTATATAAGCTCAGCCTGCATGCCTCCATATTGCTGGATTATATTCAGCTCTCCTGTATTCCTGTGTCCTGTGATTCTTTACCTGTTAAACTTCTACCCGGATCTGCCTTGACCATTCTTGCTTGCCGCCTGCCCCTGACCTCGGATTACTCGACTTTGCCTCTGCCTCATCCCCGTGTACTGTACCTTCCCGATTGGTGTGACCTTGGCCTGTGGACCTGGATTTCGGAATTGCCCCGATTCTACTACAGCACCTGGATTTCAGCTTGCACGGTGTTTGACCACTGACACCCGTGCCACACGCTGTCTACTTGGACTCTGTTCTCATCTCCAGAGTCCTTGGGACACGAGGTGCAAGGGAAGCCTCCTCACACATTCAGTCTCCAACCAGGTACGTGATACTCTACCAGCAGTTGTTGATAGTAAAAAAAATCTTCTAAATTAACAAAGAACAGCAGAGCTGAAGATAACATGTCCACTCTCCTAAGGACACAAGCAAAAAACTGAGACATGTTTGCAGTAGGTGGGTAATCATGTGCTGGATAACATGTTTTTGATGCCAGTGTCCATTTTTCCTGTAAGAAGCAGCATAACCCAACAGCCTAAGAATTCCCGTGTCCCTGAATGGATGAGAAAGAAATAAAACCTGCCCCTGACTACTTCCTTAATGTGTGGGTTTTTTAGTAAAAATCAATCACATACCCAGTGGTAAAATTGTTGCAGACATGTGCAAATCTGTTGCAGTTTGCTGCCCAAGATTAAGACCCCGTTCACATTGAGCGATTTATTGCGCGGTAATTCCCGCGATATCGCGCTCCAATGCAATCCAATGGGGCAAAGGGTCCTGCTGTCGCGGGTCGTGTGTCGCTACAGCAGGACCCTTTTTGGAGCAGATTTAGCCGCGATTCAAGCTTGCTCAATGCAAGCTTGAACGCAACATCGCGCGGCAAATCTCGCGATGTCGCGCAATATGCAAATCAGTGGGAACGGGGCCTAAAGGGGATGGGGTAGAAAATACACATAAAACTGTTGCATAGGCTTTGCTAACAGACAGCCTGATTTGCATTTACATTTGTTGCTAATTTACTTGATAAATGTGTGTACTTTTCTTATATAGGGTAATTTCTGAATGGCAGCTGCTACCCCAAGACCCAACTAAAATGGCAATTTCTGCAAAAATCTTACCTATCTTATTATAACATTTACACACGAGCTTAAACATGCTCAATCAAATATTCCCTGAAGCCCAGGCCTCAATACACACAAGCACCCAGCAAAACATTTACTTCACTTTGCACTACCCCCTACTAAAATGTATGAAGCTTGCAGTGTGTGTCCACACTGATGCTTCATTATATCTTCCCTAGTAACCCCCAGTCTTTTCCTCTAACCCAACCAGGCTTCAGGAAAGCCTGAATATTGTTTTTAAAGACATATTGTAATCAAGGACTAACTATACCTTTTCCATAGCTGATGGGGGGGTCAGCCAACTCTTATCCAAGACATTTTTAGGCACATGGTCTCTAAGTCGACAGAGGTAGTTGTGGTACATTAGGGGGAGGAAGTCTCTATTCGCGTCACCTGGAGACCGATTTCGGTTGATAAAGCCAGCAATAAACCTGAATATGAAATAAAACCAAGGATTATCTTTATACAAGCAGCAGTAACATGGCTTTTGACAGATAGGCCTTAGCCAATAAGGGCACCAGCCCATGCTGCACCAAATGTGAACACACAATGTCATTTTTTCCTGTATCTTCTGATATCAAGTATGGAAAAAAAAGTAAATAGTGTTATATGATGATTCTCAATTACTTAAACAACTGTCTGTACATGTTACAATGGAATAACACTGACTAAGGTTGGCCATAGATGATACAATATTAACTAGTGACGCATCTATATTGAGCTTCTCTTGTAATCAAATAATCTTTCTGAACTTCCTGTTATCACATATCACAAACCCATCCCAAGGACTAAAGTGCCTGCTGCAACTGTCTTGGGTGAGAATGTCAGCAGATACTGGTGTTCATGGGTCTAAAGAACAGTCAGCTATCTTTCCACCCATTGCTCTCAAGGATATCTACCAATCTATAGTGACCCTAAGTAGTCAACATTCATTTAAAAAAAAATGTTCACACTGCTAAAGCATTCCATATGGATTGCAAACACTTGGGAAACTGCTGAACAATCAAGAACACAGTGGCTTTCCTTTATTTGTATTTGGAAATGTATATGTGTGCTTGTTTTAGTTATCATATCTTAATATGCAATAGCAGGACTAACTAACCAAAGCAACTGGATTACTGAAAGCTGATCTGGGTCACCTATAGATGTGCTTACAGGAATAGATGTATTTAGAAAATGATTCATTTGTGTAACTGACATTTTGTTAAGTGTATGTAAACCCTAACTATGAACTTCTCTTATTAGCTTCCTTTTTGCCTGTTAAAAATACCAAAGTGTTGAATGTGTATCGTTCAATCTGTACGATAACTGCAAAAAAAATCTGTTGATTTTTTAGAAAGTCAGAGCTGTCCTGCACTCTTCCTGTGTTATCTAATTAGCCCACCTACTCCATATCTTGGACTACACTAAAATTAGTGTCTATGTTGTGGAGATCAGGACATTGGTAGAGAATCAGTAGTTTAGCCACCTGGGTAGGGCTGACACCATTTAGTCCACAAAAATGCTGTAAGTTGTCAGCCCTCAACAGGACTTAGGAACTGAGTGCCTATCTGACCGATATATAGGAATTTTACTGTAGTTGCAGAGTCATTAAAGGGATAAAAATGGGGAAATATGCATGTATTGCAGAGATGTACTGTGTGTTTTTTATTTTACCCTGTGTGCCATGTTGCCCAAAATGAGCACACTCTTAGCACAGAACAACTGAGCCAGATCGACACATATATATGGCAGCTTGGTGTTAGAGCCCACCCGCCATCCTGCCACATATATGCATTATACTCGCGGGAGGGTGTTAAGGTCTACTGAACTAAAAATGCCTAATTCAGAAACACTGATATAGCAATAACCCCCTAAGGAATTGCCCAGTTTACCAAGTGTCCTTAGCCTTTCTAATGGTGTTGGCTTACAGCTGCCCCAAATCACTCACCAACCCACAAGCAGCGATTGAATGGCCGACATACACTCAGACAATCTTTGCTTGCAGGTTTTATTGGCTCGAAGTCCAAGGGAGAGAGGGATAGGGTTAACAGGCTACAGAAAACATAGACACAGACTAGGTTTCCCTCTGCTCAAAAACCTTTAGACCCTCTCACGAGCCAGTAATGTGCTGAAAATGGCAATGGACTGAACCAGCTTGCCTGAAGGTGCTTCCCATAGTAACAACCTTCTTGTCTTCTAGGCCCATTCTTAAACTCTGGAACCTGGCTCTAGTGACGGACCAAGGGCTGCAGAGATGTATTACCCCGGAGAACTTTGTTTGCTGTGTGTGTTTTCCTGTTTAATATTTTATCTAGAGAGAGAGAGAGTTTTTCACTATTTGACTTGATTTGAACCATCCGGACTTCCATCTTATTTGGATACCATCTCTGCTAAATGTATTTTTGGGAAGGCAGCAGGCTGTCTGGAGTGGCCATATTTTAGGGTGATGTGATCAAGCTCTTATCTGTTTAACGACATTCATTAGGTTCAAAGAGTGCCTGTGCTTAAGGAATTCCAATGCAGGCACCCAGCTGTCTAGGGGTAGGAACTGTTCAATGTAACACACTGAACTCTTATCTGATTCTGTGAGGTATAAACTCTGTGTGCTTTATTCAATAAACCAGTTAATGTTTCCACTCCAAAGTCAGTGTTGTCTGATTCTTGGGGTAATCCCATGCTATATTCACTTGCTTCTGGTTCCAGCACCCAGGGAACAGGCTTAAGACAGAGATATCTAGTCGGGGTATCAGGGAGTCCATCACACTCCGTTTTTAGGCAGCAGCTCTGAGAGACAAAGGGGCCTCTGGACTCTTCTCACGCTAATGAGGTAGCAGGACAAAAACCTAGATCCTTCACACATGGACTCCCTCCAAAAGACAGGACCTCCCTATATATACATCCTCTCCAAGCAAAGCTTGGGAGACAAAGACCATACTAGAAGGAATTACCAAATATTATTTTTTTTCCTGAGTCCACATCACTGGCAATAAACCTCCTAGTAATTGGCCAGGTTGAAATATATATTAATAACTCACAACATTGCTTCTTCTTGCTCTGTCTACAGAACACTTTCCAGCAATGGGCAGAAGCACCCAATGCCCTAGGGAAACCCAACAAATTCAAAAAAACAATAACAAGCAGAGCTCAGGTGTTGCAGCCTAGATGCTCACTAAATTTAAACAAGTGGAACTCCAACTTTGGCAGGGCTGCTACACTGGAATATACTCTTAAATTGTAAAGGATTAGGCAAAGAAACAATAAACTAAAAGGCATAGCCTACAAAAGCAGTGTACAAACTTCGGCCCACTGGTTGCCATAGACTGGCCCCTACAATGAGAAGGCCCTGAATGCAGGGCATTTTCATTCAACCCGGAAGGATGGAGGCACTGCATGCAGAATGCAAGGGAGGGTACACAGTGCATTTCAGCCCCTGACAATGCAACAGGCAGTGGCGGAACTACCAGGGTCGCAGAGGTCGCGGCCGCGACCGGGCCCTGGAGTTCGGCCACTTGGAGGGGGCCCAGGACAGGAGGAAGGGGCCACTGGTGACCGCTGATTACCAGTCCCGGGACCTCTTCCTCCCGTCCTGGGCCCTACATACTTCACGCTGCTCCCCTCATCTTGTTCCGGGCGCAGCGTGAAGCATCATCCAGCCGGGCAGCAGCCAATGAGAGGGAGCGGTGTAATCCCCGCCCCCTCATCACACAGAACTGCCGCCGAGTGCCGAATAGAGGACAGTGTTTTTTTTTTCTTTCCTTGTCTAAATTTTGTTTATGTCACACAATTTCCCACTAACCATTGACACAGGGGCATTATTCCTTGCACTGACAGATGGGTACAATTCCTCCCACTGATAAAGAGGCACCAATCCTGCCAATGACACAGGAGCACCATTCCTCCTACTGAGACAGATCTACTGTATGTGTTATTTACACTGACCAATGATACAGATTTGTATTACTGCCACTGGCCCCAATAGCATTTATTACTACCAGTAATCACTGATGCAGGGGAATTTATGACTGCTATTGACGACCGATGTAGGGTCATTTATTACTCGTACTGACCACTAACAGAGAGGCATTTTTTACTCGCAGTGACCACTAACTTAGGGGCATTTGTTACTTCCATTGATTTAGAGGGAATTCTTTTACTGCTCCTGACCACTAATTTAGGGGCATTTAGTCGCAATGATGTATAGTCATTTTTTTCTCCCACTGACACCAGAGAATTTTGTACTCCCACTTACCAGCAATGTAGGGGCATTTTTACTCCCACTGACCACCAATGTTGGAACATTTTATTTTTCTACTACTGACCACAGTCCTGCCCCCAAATAGTGTGATGAAAAACGAACTGGCCCTTTTTAAAACATATTTAGGGGCCCCAGCGTATAAAATAAAATTCATATCTTATATAATTTAATCTTGCTTACTTCCTGATTGTTTCAGCTGCCCATGCACGCTTCTTGGCAGCCCGGCGGGCTAAAACACCTCTCCAGCATGATTCCAGCTTGATAGCTGTAAAATATGTGCACAGTTAGTATATTCTACTAATTAATGAATGTGCAACTATTATTTCTAAACTTGCATTCTTAAAATACCAAAATGGTGCTGACAGACTCCAGAACTGCAATGCAGACACCAAATTATACCTGCACATACCTGTATATGCATTCTATGCATTCTTCAGAAGCTGGGTGACCCAAACCCTGGCCACCCTCTGTCAGTGCTGCGTTATATTCTAAACTGTGTCCATATAATGTCCAAGTATCAAACTTGTGTCACTCTTTCCAAGGATTACAAACCAATGTGGATGCTTGCTTTATTCAATAACGTGTTATAAAGGGTAACCACTAAGTCCACGATGTAATACACTGAGTGGCCAGTTTATTATGACCACCTGACATTTGTAGGCAAATTAGCTATAATTTCGCGCTGAAGTTGCTAGAGGGCCAGACCATTATAAATAGGGAAGCAGGTTGTTTACCACGACAGTAGAAGTGATTTTTTTTTTCTGAAGATATGGGTAAACAACACGATTTAACAGCCTTTGAACGTGGGATGATTGTTGGCGCTCGGAGCCATGAAGCGAGTATCAGCAAAACAGCAGAATTCATTAAATGTTCAAGAGGGGCTCATTATTAAAGTGTTTAAAGACTGGACTGTCAGCCGAAAATCTGGGTCTGAACGCGCGAATTGTGGCCGTCAGCGACTAGTCAATGTTAGGGCAGAACGGAGAGTGGCAAGACTGGTACAAGACAACAGAAGGGCAACAGTGCAGTGTCAGATTCCTCGCATCACCTTTCAACATCTCGTGGAGTCACGAGGCGGCCCAACAAAGTCATCTCGTGGAGTCATCTCGTGGCCCAGCGAAGTACTGATGGGGTGGTCATAATAATCTGGCCACTCAGTGTATATGATAATGGGTAAAGTAACAATCTATACAAATCATTTCAGAAAGTTTTATGAAAGATACCTTGTGCATCTATTGTTTCACAAAGATTGTTTGGGACACATTTGATCAATTTTTCAAAAAGCTTAATATATTATTGAACTAGAATTCAGTGCCTACATACTACCTTCTAATCCTTGGAAAAAGTGATAAACGTTTGATACTTTTTTAGTTTAGAATATAAATTCCCTTGTATCTCCCCGATGTTGCTACAGATACACATTGTTGATACACTTTGATTTGATACACATTGTTGCTGATTACTCTATCTTTCAAGACAAGTGTTTTACCGTGGAATCACTTTGGAATGTGTTTTAAAAATATCTTCTGTAAATGTTAGCATTGTTTGTTTGGGTGTATAGGGTATTTGAATTAAACATTATTTTGAGATATTTTGAACGAATATAGACTTTTTGTAATTTATACACAACCCATAAAAAATATGTATATATGGGACTCAAAGGAGAGCTGTTTTCTATTTTCTATTATTGCTAATTTGTTATTGAGGTTGTGGTATGGTATAAACAAATGTCCTCTAGTTTATAAACAATTCACAGTGCCATTTGCTCTGCAAATCTCTGTAAACATTAATTCTGTTCTTTATGCCTCTACTCACACATTCTCAGTATATTTTCTTTCCAGGTCGAATGTAACATTTGGAAAATACTGTACTATAGCCACTAGATGGAGCAGAGGAAATAAATATATCTTTCACATGCAAATCAACTCCATCTAGTGGCCAAAGTGCAGTATTTTCCAAATGTTACATTTAGTCAAAATAGAAACCAAACCTATGTACCACACTAAATTATTATCACTTATTAATGCAAATTGTTTATTAAATGAGGCTTATACTGTTCTTTCCCTGCCATCGACATAAGGCATATGGTGGGAACAAAACTGTTCCCAGACTGCCAGGTCATTATGCCTTACTTCAGTGGCATTTACTGTTCTGCTATGAGCTCAACCATAAACCTATGTCAGAGCAGTTCCCCTGACGGTCCCCTTTAAATTAATAGATGCCATCAGAGGCTGACAAGATTCCAGGCAGGGATCTGTGTCTCCAGCAGGGATCTGCTCTCCCCCGCTTGTATGGGCTGAGGCTGCGGGAATCCGAGTAGAAATGGCCGGCGGGGGGCGGAAGAGCGAGCCACTCAATGATCACGATGATTAAACGGCATTAAAGAGCAGTTTCAGGATGACAGCGGCTGCGTGCATACCTGAGCGGAGGATCAGTTAATATCTGTGATATTTACTGATCCTATGTGTACAGAGCAAACACTGGAGTTATCATCTAATCACTCCAGTGTTTGTAAATAACTGGGGACACATAGTACTATGTGTCCCCAGTTATGAATGAACAGGAGGTGCTTTACATCACTTCCTGTTCATTCATTAATTTCTCAATGGGGAGAAGCACTCACTACAGAGGCTTCTCCCCATTCAGAAACTGGTGGATAGTAAATATTTTATATCAACAGTTTCTGAATGAATGGGAAGCCTCTATAGTTAGTGCTCTCCAAATAAATTTTTTTGTAAAAATGTGTAATAAATAAATAAATAATAGCCCCCCCACAAACCCCCCTCACACACATAACATACGCGTGCACCATATTGTGGTGTACGTCATGCACATGCGCTGCAGTGCGTTTTTAGAATGCATCGCAGTGCATGATTTCTTTCTCTTTAAAAAAAAAATAACATTAATTTAACTGTGACAACACATGGCAAAGCTTTGTGACGCATTGCCATGCGTTGTGATATACTGTGTTGCAATTAAATATACACCTGTGTCATTTTATCACAACACAAACACCAACACAGTGCAAAAACGATTTTTAACACAAAACGCTTATTTACAGTTTTGTGTTCCTTCATTTTTTTTACCGTGTCGCAAAAAGCCGCAATTTAGAATTTACAAATATTTGTTATTTATTAACTCAATACAGTTTTATCTTTTAGATTTAGTCAGAAAATTATATTTTTTGTGTACTGATACTAATTTTAGTGTGTTTTATCAATTGAATTGTGTATTTTTATTGGTTTAATATTGATTTGATAAACATTTGCGCAATTATCGAAGGGCCTAAAAATTTTGTAGCACCATCTTTTGATTCTACCGGGCCTGTGCTTTCAGAAAATATATGGTTTGGGGGGTCTTTTACAAACGCTAGCAATGCAGGAGTTGAAAAGCAAAACAAAGGGAAAAATTGCAAAAATGTCGTGGCCAGCTGAGGTGTAAAGCATTCCGGAGGGCTTGGCAGCAAAAGGGTTAAAGGGAGATCCTGATTGGTTACAATAGGTACAATTATTTCCAAAAATAGAATCAATCATAAGATCACAAAATGTTTAGCTCAAATCACTAGAATTATTATTTAGATATATTATGAAATAAATAGTAATATCATGTATTAACTGATTTATACTTAAAGTGACATTAAACCCTCAGATTTTTTAACATAAACCAATACTGTAATGTGCGCCTTACTGTAATCCATGGTTGTTTCCCTTCTCTTTGCTGCTCTTCCTTTTAAATCCTTATATCTTCTCATGCTGGGGGAGAACTTCCCTTTGCAGCTGAGTGCCTCTTCCTGTAGTTCTGGCTCCAGTTGTGAACGTTCACACAGACACCATGGGGTCTATTCACCATAGGGCAGCCGAGTGAATGACCGATCTGAAGTGAAGTGAGCCGAACACTGATCGGCTATTCACTTCAGGCTGGTACGGCTGATTTCAGCCATACATCGGCTTGCTTCGAGTGGCTTCGGGTCGGCCGAACATGCTCAGCATGTTCGGCCGACCCGAAGTGCAGAAGGAGTTCGACTCAGTAAAAAAGTTAAAAAAGTAAATAGAAAACGATTGTGCGGAGCTAGCAGTGATAGCTAGCTCCGCCCAATAGTTTCCTATTGTCCGGCGGCTCTGCTTCTGTAAAGAAAAAAAGAAAAAGAAAAAAACTCTCCCTGGTGCTCTGGGACCCCCCCGCTCCCGGCCGCTCAGGAGAGTTAAGGCCAGATCCTTCGGCAGCTTCGTGAATAGACCCCCATGTATCCATTCCAGAGACAGGGCAGTCGGCTGCAAAACAGAAGTTCTCCCCCAGCATGAGAAGAGATACGGATTTAAAAGGAAGAGCAGCAAAGAGAAGGGAAACAACCATGGATTACAGTAAGGCACACATTTCAGTATTGATTTATGTTAAAAAAATCTGAGGGTTTAATGCCACTTTAATGCAGATTACCTTTTTTCAAGATGATCCTTTGTTTCACAACTTTCAACATTAGAAGATGGGAAGATGGGAAATATATTTTCCCTCTTGCCCTTATCTCCTTGTTACACGTTCTCTTACCACAGAGCTAGGAATCCTTTAAATAAGCATTTCAGTTGAGTAAGGAAATAAGAGCAGAAATCCATGGGTCAATGTACCTGCTTTCTTCTTTTTAAGGAAAGCTCTTTTTCCTAAACACCCTTTGTATTTGGCCTGGATTTTTGAAACTAAAATGAAAAAAAAGATACATACACAATACACATAAAAATCATTATGGGGCTACGATATATTGAAGTCACTGAAGACAACATTACATTAAACTCTACAAAGCTGTCACATTAAATTGAAAAACTGAACATTGTAAAACAACAATCAACTATTTACAAAGAAAAAAATCTTACTTACTTGCTAGTTCAGTCTAAATTATTTCTCAGACCATTAGGCCCCATACTTTTGCATGAGTCTCACGCTGTGATTACCTGCAGAAGATTGCCCCTGGATGCAAATAGTCTGCATCCAGTTGTAATCATCTGCAGGTTATCAAAGCATGTGTGATTACATGCAAATGGCTGGGGATAGCTGAGGGCGCTGCTAGCTGTCATTGCAATGCCTTGAAACTCCTGTTGTCTAACTGAGATCTCAGACTATCCGATAATTATTGCTCGATTATCGTACGAAAAACCGATCGCATACGATTATCGTACGATAATCGTGCAGTGTATGGGCACCTTTAGTGGTCTGACTTATTCACCTGGGTTTGTAAATGTCAGCATGAGCTATTTAGCTTTGAAAAGCACACACTTTTATAACACAAGATCAAGGAGTCCTTGGAAAACATGGAAAAATTAGCCTAATTTTCACCCTCCTGCCTCAAAGGGAGAATACTTAATATTAATCGGCAATTTTTCATATTTGTCTTACTAAAAAAAAAATCTATTGTTTTGCATAAATAAAGCAAGGTAATATGTACAAAACCCACTAAGCATTTTCTTTAATACATGCCAATAAAACTATTTACGTCTATTTGATCACTTTTAGGTTTAAAGTCAGAACTCCGGTTAACATTTTTATTAACCCATGCCATGGGGCTAATCTGCAGTGGAAGTCTTGCCTAGGGTAAATAAAAAAAGTTATACTCACTCAATCCTCAGGTCCGGCCAGCTGTTCCCCTCCTCTACAGCAGTCCCTAAGTGATCATGTTCTATACACAGTTTATAGGACATGAAGGTGCCGAGGGACGTACCGTTGTTGCAACGCAGGAGACAGGCAGCGCTGTGGGAGCGCTGTCACAGCCGGCCGGCTCGGAGGGGGATCGGTGAGTATAACGTTGTTATTTTTTACGCTAGGCAAAAACGTGCAATTAACTCTTGCAGTGCCGGGGTAGCCCAGCTGCAAGAGTTAATCACATTTTTAACTGGAATTGTCAGAAAATTCAAAAATGGCTTGGCCAGCTGATTTGAAAAATGTTCCGGAGGGCTTGGCAGCGAAAGGGTTAAAGGCATTCCCTTTAATATTGAATTTAGGAGCCAGTAAGGTCAATATATGGGGTCAAAAAGGCAATTTGAAGGCATTAGGGAACATGTGCTTGCACAGCAGAAAAGGATCATCAAAATCTTGGCATGCGATAAAACCTCTTTTAGGCGCACATAATACCTGGCTCCTGGTAATGTTCAGGTTTCGTAACAGTAGTACAGTTTTTTTTCCAAGAGGTGGCAGTAAAAGGTTTCACTATCTAGCTACTCATAGGCTGTATAAAGATCTGTAGGTGAAAGCATTTTCCACATAGAGTTGGCACTACAAGTTCATGTTTACATTCAGTGACAGTGATCTGAGTTTACATTACCCAGCTGATGCTTTCTTTGTTCAAATGCATCCACAGTGGCAAATAAGGAGCGAGGAAAACGTATAAACAACTTGGTTCTGGAAGGAAATGGAGCATATTTAACTGGCATGCCGGAATATAACTTGATATAAGAATAGTGCAATTATGTTCAAGTGTACATTGGGTACCATTCACATATCCTTGAAACCGTTCTGAAGTCCTCATTCTCTCTTCCTTAGGCTGCGGGTGCTGGCAACCTCCGGGTCCTATCACTTACCCACACTGTTTGCAAGCTCTACGATTAAGCTCCAGTAGTAGGAGAAATATGTCAAAGGGAGGGCATGGGTAGAGAGACTCTCTGACAGAATAAAGATTTGGAATGCAAGACTCCGGGGTACACAGATGCACTGTATACATTGTTGTATAAAATAGGGTTTTTGTCTCACCCATAAAATTATTTTGTTGGAGTACATCACAGAACACAGGATTGTAATTCTGGAACCAATGGGTTATGCGGCAGCCTTCAGATGATTGGACACTGGCAAAGCAAAGCTATACGGACAGTCCTGTATTACCCCTTCCGCTAGCAACATGCTTTCAGTATTGTAGCAGGCAATAACCAGAGTGGATCATAGGTGCATGGGGAGGGGCCTTTGTCTTGTGATGTACTCCATCAGAAATGACAAATGGAGAGTTGGACTGATAAAAAGAGGTTTTAGCTGAGAGGTAAACTCGAACAGTGAGCACCATATCCAGACATTGTAGAGAAATCTCCTTAGGATGCTTATTCATGGCACATAAAGATGGCATGCCAGTGTACTGGTTAAGGTGGGAGGAAGAAACCACCTTGAGAATGAAAGAGGCCCTAGGCCTCACGACAACTTTGTCTTTGTGTAGCAAAAATAGCCAAGACAATCTTGAAAAAAGGATATACTTTGCCATTTATGTTTAGGGATGTGGTACCTTACTCAATCAGGAGCCAGCACATAATGATAACTGACTTTTTAGTACAAAAAAGGTTCCTGAAAGGTCAAGGCCACCAACTCAGGAACTCTCCTTGGAGAAGTAATGGCGACAAAAAAAGGCAACCTTGCGTCTAAGAAAAAACACAGCATATGGCTGAGAAAATCCAATAAGCCCCTGCCCCTCAGGACCTAGGCTTCAACAGCTAAGCCATTCAAGCCAGCAACTGAGAGCAGGGTAGTGGATCAACCACTGGGACAGAAAGTCTGGACGATCTGGGAAGGCCCATGCAGAGTCTGCCAGGAGCTTGATAATGTCAGCGTACCACAGCTCCCTGGGATAATGCGGTGTTATAAGTATCACCACAGTGTCCTTCATATCAATCATTGCAAAAGGCCGAGACCCATGCTGGGTATATATGAGGAGGTATATGCCAGACCAACACAAAATAGTTCAGGACCACTGTTGCTGGAGCACAGACACATCAATGAGTTTGAATCCGTGGTCACTAGTCATAGATTTTAACTAGACGGGTAGAGTCTGGCAGACAGTCATGGCAGACAGTCATGGTGGCAATGGCAGGTTACATAGCAGGGCCTGCCAGGGTGAACAAGGCCTTGAAGAGAGCCTCCAATGTCCCTGGGCTTCTTGAATACAGAAACATCGTCAACCAGGACTGTCAGGGGTTTTCTTACAGCAGGTGGGTGGGGCCAGAAGCCCCTTGGTATGGTTGACACAAATTTATTTAATTTGAAATACGTGTGCACTGCATCTAGGATAGAATTAGTATGCTTTAGTTTGGCATAAATGTAAGTGGACAGGTTCTTGTCCTGTGCCGGGTTCTCTGAACTGGACATGGCACCATTCTCCTCTCCCACATCAGGAAGCACAAAGGCAGACAGAGGGAGGTCAGAGGAGACTCTGGGGGAGAGGATGAGAGAGCTCGCTTGCAGCCCGTGCAGTCTGAGGCCTTGAAAAATTAAGATTTTTTTCCCATATACTTAGCAAACTACCCCTTAGGTAAATATGAGGAAGCAAGTGCCCCTGAAGGAGTTGAGGGGGTCCATTCTGTTTCAATTCACTGTATGCAGAGGGGTCTAGTGCATTCAGGAATATCTGTTCTGTGTGCAGACAGGCACATAGTGAAAAAACAGCGGTCAGCAGATAGGTAGAGCAAAAATGGCATGCCCATGAGCAAAAGAGCCAAGCAGGAAGGAGGCTGCACAAGTGACTTAGCAGCCAGACTGTACCCAGAGACAGAATTAATTAACCTCAAAGGAAATGGAGCGCCACAGCACATTGGGCCCACAAGCTGGACAGAAGCCCTGGCTGGTCTTGCAATCTGCGGTCCTCCCAATTAAGTAAATGGTGGATTGAAGGGACAAGCCCCATCCAGTGGACTCACCCCCTAACGAGTGTCAGGGAATGGGCTCCAACGGCAGATGGACCACTACCCCGGACCTTAAGCACCCTGAGGCTAACTCAACATGTTGCACTATGTGCACTATGTGCCAAGGTAAGCAGCTAAAACAGGATCCAGTGCCCAAAATAACATTAGGGACTGGCTCAGCTTCTGCCTCGCGGCCGGGTCTGAATATGGTCCCTCAAGATTTAGTCGAGGAGTTGCCAAATCCAGAAATCTGTAAAAGGGGTGCTGTAGTGGCAATGTAGCTGTTAAAAATCTTGCTAGGAAAGTGTTTAAGAAATTCATTAAGAAATAAAAAAAGAAATACATTTGCTTCTCTCAGAGTAGAGAGAAGAGGTATATTTCCCTAAGGACACTAGCAAAAAATGTAAGGCATTTTAGGGGGTTGGAGGGGTTATACAGGGCTCTCCTTACAGCTCTGCTTTGCTATTGTCCAATCACTTGAAGACAGTTTCATAGCCCATTGGTTGCAGAATTACCATCCAGTGTCCTGTGATGTATGAATAAGAACATATTTTTAATAGGTGGTTGATAAATATGTCATAAAGTATATACACTTTTATATATATATTTGTGTTCGGAATCCATTTGCAATAAGGGCGAGTAACCCAATACTGACCTGAGGTGTGCCTTGATCCGGATGGACAGTATGCCAATGAGGGGGCATACTCTGTGAAATCTTTAAATGAAGGGACCGGGTGGGCGGGTCATGCTGACGAAGGCCGTGCCCAGGTGAGTCTATCTGCCCCTTTTATGTGTGAGAGGAGGGAAGGACTCCTCCCACAAATACAGGCTAATCAATTAGCCTTCAAACTTGTGTTCGGAATCCATTTGCCATCCAGGGCGAGTAACCCAATACTGACCTGAGGTGTGCCTTGATCTGAAGCGACGCCAAGTTAACATCCTTGCCCTCTAAAATGTCCTCCTTCAGGGTACTGGGGACAAAGTGAGCAGGGCTGACATGAGGAGGAAAGACAGCAATACCTGGAGTACTGGGGACCACCGTGCCGTCTGTTCCAGGTACTACCGCCGAAGTACCGGGCACGACCTGAGGAACTGCCACCGGCACTGCCACTGTCAGCCTCTCGAGATCCACGGTCCTATGCTGTAAGTCATGTACCAAAGTGGTCAATGTGTGCAGAGAGGCGTGTATCTGCGTCAATGACGTCACAACCGTCTGCAGCGACACCTGGCTAGTGCTAGCACTAGCAGCATACTGAGGGAACAGCAACCTAAAAAGTTCTGCCTTTCTAGCCGTGGCCGAGAAGGGGATGCCTTTCCTCTGAAGCTCCGCGATGATCTTGGGAATGGTCCACGCTCTGAGAGACGGGGCGCTCCCATGCTCTGGGCCCCTAGCCGGAGTTGCCGGGAGAGACGCGAATTCCTCCGTGTCAGAAATATGCGACATGACTGCCCCAACGAGCTGTAAATGCGACACCTGGCTAGTGCTAGCACTAGCAGCATACTGAGGGAACAGCAACCTAAAAAGTTCTGCCTTTCTAGCTGTGGCCGAGAAGGGGATGCCTTTCCTCTGAAGCTCCGCGATGATCTTGGGAATGGTCCACGAGAGACGGGGCGCTCCCATGCTCTGAGCCCCTACTCCCGGAAGTGACGACCGTCCGTACCAAAGCTTCCTAGGATGCTGACGAAGGCCGTGCCCAGGTGAGTCTACCTGCCCCTTTTATGTGTGAAAGGAGAGAATGACTCCTCCCACAAATACAGGCTAATCAATTAGCCTTCAAACATGTCAAAATATTTCACTTAGAATTGCTGTGTTTAGGCTTTGGTTGTAGCTTACTGAGTTCTGTATAACATGGTTTCAACAGGCTATGATTATTTTAACGTTTCTTTCTGGAAACGATCTGGTGTCACAGGTCAAGTAATAAATCATCATGACAATCCAACACATTTAAAAGAAATTCCATCTTGGCTAGTTTTCCATAAGAGAAATGTTGCTTCATGTTTTAATGTTTCAAGACTAACTGTACAAATCTACGTTATGTCTTTAAACTGACACTTTTAGAAGTGCCACAAGATGTATACTTTGTATCTTTAAGTGATATGTAAACATATTTCTATGACTTACCTTCCAAGTTTGTACTCATTGGGTTGGTAGCCAATGTACTTCACCAATCTTTCTACACCTTCACGAGCAGGTCCAGCCCAACTAGGCCAAGTATCTGGACACAGGGATTTATACCTATGCACACAGGTACAACATTTAGGAAGTAAGTATTATCATTATTATTATACAGGATTTATATAGCACAAACACTTTGTGCAGTGCTTTACAATAGGAAGTATTGTTTGCAAATACGTTGGCAGTGCTAATGCAACAACACATTTATTATACATCTAAACCTAAAAAAATAAAATTATATATATATATTTTTTTTAGTTTATTTTTATTGATTTAGTATGTATTTTTTAATGTATTTATTTGTTTTTTTAAATTATTTTTTATTGTTAACTTTACTGCTGGGGCTTCGGTGAAATATCAGGGGTGTAAACTGACCCCTGATATTTCTCCTTTTAAAATAGAAAAAGAGATTGAGAACAGAGAGTCCTCAATCACTTTTCCTGCATCCCCTGTTATAAATGAACAGGAATCCTCTATACTATTTTAGTGTTCCTGTTCATTCATAAACTTGTGGATATAGTGTGAGTTACTACGGTATGTACACAGTCATGAATAAATAGGAGGTAATGAAGATCACTTCCTATTCATTCATAACTGGTACATAGTAACTCATACTATGTCCAATTATTTATAAACATTCAGCGATCACTGATCACTAAATGTTTGTACTCGCTCTCCATCCTGGATCGGCTCTCACAGGAGGCTGAGCCAACAGGGTGGGGAGGAGAGCTCGGTCTAGTTTGACAGCTGACTCCTCCCCCTCACCGGTGGCTCGGCCTCCTGTGACAGCTGACAGCTGTCTCTGCCCATACATGATTTGTCAGAGGAGGCTGAGTGAGCCTCTTCTGACAGTTTCTCTCTGCCCTGCTGAGTGCTGCGCTATGTCAGAGGGGACACAGAGCAGGGCACAGCGCAGCGGGGAGGAGAGAAACTAGAGATGCACCGCATTTTGCCCAAAGTGCCATTTTAGACATGTTATGATATGTTTCGGCGGACAAAATTTCGGTGCATCCCTAGTCTTTAACATTAGTTTGGTTGATTTGAGGGCAGAAGTCACTTTTAGCTGCTGTCCCGTCTATAGCAAACTTTTTTTGTTGCAAGGCCACAAAAGTGGGCTTTAGTTTCAGAGAGTGATATTATGGGGTTTACATTTATTTTGGGGGTATATTCATTTTTAGTTTATGTTGATGGGGCCATTTTTGAAGTTTTAAATGTTCAAAATGCATAATTTGCTTGTTGGTGACCATGCATTTGTAGCCCATGCACAGTTGTTATATTGCTAGAGTTCACCTCCCTGCAGAGGGTTAATCAGAACAGTCTGTACTTGGCTTGACAGATAGTGTTAGGGCTTGTTCACACCACATCCAGTGCATTCCAGCACGGTTAGTAGCTGGAACTTACTGGATCGCATAATTAAAAAGCCTCCCGTGTTCTGGGGCGGGAGGGGGCGTGGTGGTGCCAGTTATTGCCACAAATGAAAAAACTTTGCCTCATTGTATTTCTCCCCTTCCCAGTGTAAAAAGTCGCAGTTTTTTTGTGTTTAATTTCTTTGTTTTATAAATGACAACCTGACCACCCCCTTTTATTCTTGCCTAAACATGAATAATGTGAAATTCTGCTGCTAAACCTCCTGGGATATTCATGTCCCTTTTCCCAGGAGGTTTCAGCTCCTAGACAGCCCTAGAGGAGGACTGGCCTGTGGCTGGAGGAGGTTAGGCCTGCATGCATCATCAGGGGGCCATCTGTAAGAACCAGTAAGAGACCGCCGGCTTCCAATGACGGCAGAAAGGAAGATGGTGCCACAGGATCTAGCACCCCTGTTTTCTGCAGGATTGTTGACTCCCTCTTCTCCACATCTCTACCGCTGCTTCCTTCCTCTCCTCTTTGGTGTGTATGGGCTCCAGTGGTCATCTTGCCTGAGTCCAAGTTTAGGGCACAGCATCTCTGGTGGCTATTTTCTGGAGTCTAGTCTACTGCAGTATAAATTCCGGTGTCCAATTTCTTAGTGGCTGGCGGCGGAACAGAGAGGCAGAGTGGCAGTGACTAGCACATACCCTGAGAGTTTAAAAGTTTGATGCTCGCTAGGCTCAACCTCCTATATCCTCTTCACCAGGTCGCATGGAGGGACAGAGCGTTTTGGACACAGGTGGATCACATAGAGAGACTTGGGCAATAGTCAGAGCAGACTTGCTATACTGTGAGTATCTTAGGGGCCCCTCAC